CTCCACCCCACCCCCACCAAGAGGAAAAAGAAAAAAAAAAGTCCTATTGTTAAAGTTTGGTTTTATTTAAAGATTTGGTTCGACAGTTGGCTTGTGGTAATTTTGCTCCTGACCTGGAAATCATTTCTCGTTTCTCGTTTCTTGCCCATGAACTCGATGGGTTCGAAGGAGTGAAAGGTTGCAGTTACAGGGAGTGAGTGATGAAGAAGAGCCTTTGTATAACCTTTGATACTATTTATGTTTTAAACTCTGTGATTTATGAACAATTTTGTATTCTTCCATAAAACAAGAATTTAATAATTGGACCTGTGAACATTTGGCTAAATAATACCCCTCTTTTTTTTTTTTTAATGGACATTATTTTGTACTTGCAAGTTTTCGGATTTTTTTTCGTGGTTTATTACATGATCTATGTTATTGCAGGTTATTCTGGTTAATCTTATCTTGCCATAATAGTATATTAAAATCAATTAAATAGCCTCAAAGAGTATATATGTTTATATATAAATCTAATTTTTAATCAACCCCAAAAGGAATTTGGTTTCTTTGCTGTTGGGAAAAAAAAAAAAAAAAAAAAAAGTAATAGAGAAAAAGGGGGAGTGGGTCCAATAGAATCGTTGGATGCATGGCAAGTAAGGAAGAAAGTAAGAAAGAAAGAGACAAATATTTCATGATTAGGGTAACGTAAGCATAATAAGCCTTAAATAATGAACAAACCCAGTAAATTGGGCAGATAGATAGCAAGCAGTATCCTTCCAAATCTAACCCCACTCTCATCTTACGTCACCACACACCCACACACACACACACACACACACACACACAAACGAAACTCAATCCACCCAACTTGCCTTTTATTTGTTCCTTAATCATATATTAATCTAGCTAATTAATTATACATTATGATTTATGATGCATATTTACACCCTTAAATTTAGACCTTTCTTCGAACCCTACTTGCTTGAACACTGAAAAAGCTCACCTATCGTCAGATTTAGGATCGGCGCGGAGACGAACAAGACTACTGGAAAATTGTAAATCTGTATTATTAATTTTGCACGTGTAACCCTAATAGGGTTTTGGTACATTTGTTTAAATTTATGATCCAAATCTTAATTTAAATTGATCATTTTTAGCGGAATTTAAATTTACTGTTAATGGCAAATTCAAATCTAAATCTGAATATTCGATTATATTTTTAATTATGAAAAATGAATTCTAAAAATGTCGAAACAATATAATTATTTGAAATTTTATTTATTTATTTTTGTAAATAGGTAGAATTATTTGAAATCCTTTGGCCAAACCTAAATTCATATGTCCAAACACGACCTATGTTTTTAACCTTTGAAGAGTGCGTGAAACTGTCCCGCCGGCGCACGTTGCGAAGAGGGGCTCTCACATTTTCAAAGAGGGTGAAAAACCATTTTAACAACTGTTTACTGCAAGTTTTAATTTGTTCTTTCTTTTTCTTAATACAACAAGATAAGCATTTTCTTTCACGTTAAACAGTAAAAAGTAATCACATTTTGTATCAAGTCAAGCATTAAACAAAGTATGCATAACATGAAACTCTTATGTGTCATTTACAGTAATTACAGCTAATTAACAAATCAAACCAAGTTACAATTAATATATATATATATATATATAGTTTTGGAAGTCGATAACATTATATTGAATAGTAATATATTTGTTTGTTCGAGCCGGTACTTCATTTATAGTAGAATCTCAATAAATTAATGTGTTAAAAAATTATATCGTTAATTAATATTTTGGTAAAGTAACAGAATTTTGCCCGTTACAACTGTATTAATTTATATAGGTTTAACTGTAATTTCGAAACTCACCTAATAATGTGTGAAATTATTACTGTAGTAAAGAATTGTTGTCCTAGGATTAGATGAGAGTTACTGAGGTTTAAAATCGTGTTATAAATTAGAGCGCTTTTGGTGAAATAACTATACAATATTGCTTTGAATTAACCCTAGAAAAGAAATGGTG